GTGCGCCGTACAAATACTCCATTAACCTACGAGGTGCCGGTGTTCGAACTTATTTGCCAAAGCAATGGAGCAGTGGCCAATGTTCCAAATTATATGGTAATAATTATGCTCATAGTAAAATAAATGTTATTTCATTTCACCTATTTATATTATCACAATATATAGCCATTAACCGTTTGTTCAAGGTTATTTTGTGAATGTTGTAGAATTTGTGGTGTAATACAGTCAATTCTTTGAAAGCATACACTTTGAAAGTACGTGCTCTTGCATGAACAACTAGTTCAGGGGTAGGCAACCCTTGGCACGCGGGCCAAACTTGACACGCAAGCCCATTTATTCGGCACGCGAGCGAGGCCTCAGAAACGAGATCATTCTTCTTCAGATAAAAAGTTTCAGGACTCTGGATTATCTGATGAAACTCGGTGTTTGTTTATTCATTATATATCGTTTGTTAACAATCTGTTATTTATTTAAACTCTTTTCGTCCTTTCAAGACATATGAATACAAAGAAATATGTTATGACGTAACAAATGAGTGAGCTCTCGGGAAATTTTGTCGAAATGAGCGCAGCATTCATTTGGCTAAATTCTTGTCTGTGCCACCCTTTTTATTCATTTCTGCTTGATTTATGAAGTTTTACAGCTCATGTTGATGAGAGTTACTTGCTAACTCACTGCTATAAAATGACTTAGAAATAAATATAAGCGATTAGGGAATACAAGAGGGAAGTGCAGAAAACAAACTATTGCGTGATCATCTACATATTTCATCTACATATTATGCTTGTGAATCTCTGTTCCCAGTTATAAACTTTATCAAGTCTCGTAACAGGTGTAGCCCGAAAGATGAAACCAGAAACCAGTAGTTCATGTATTTCTTTGAAAGTTACAAAATATAAACCTAATGTGAAATCTCCATCAGCGGTAATACAGCAGCAGAAGTCTCACTGATTCGAAAAAGATTAGTAATCAAATCTAATTGTCAGACTTATATTTTCCCGAATTTTGGTCGGCACGCGGGAGCATTTTGTTGTTAAATTTAGCCGATTTTGGCACGAGAGCCGAAAAAGGTTACCCACCCCTGAACTAGTTGGCAAGAATATTTCACTGTAAAACATTTGGACAATAAATGACGAGGTACAGTTTAATATATATACTATAAGTATTCTGGCGGCGCAATCATTGCACCTACATCGATCCTACACAAAAATGTGGCGTATTATACTATTTTTGTAGTGATATAAAAAAACATTGCCTGATCAGATAGTGTCATGTATAATTTCCGACTTCCCGGAACAAAACAATCGAACATTTTCTTAGCTTGACGATTGGAAATAGTATAAGTTTATTTTTATTCTTTTAAATGAATGAATGGGAGAATGAAAAAAACGAATAATTTAATGCACTTATATTTTTAACATTAAGCAATGACATGTTTAGAGGGAAATTCTGAGCTTATAAGCTTATTATATGGAGGGGACTCACAAATGAAATAGCCTAGGCCCTAGGGCCTCTCATGGTCTAAATCCGGCCCTGCGTACGACACTTCGGAAATAGTAAGATTGATTCTAATTATACTCAAATTCAAAATCCTATTTAGCATATTCCAACAGAGTTATCATTTATTTTTAGTTCAATATTAACACATTACAGATTACCTCATTATTAATTCGAAAGTAAAATAGAGCATGAAAGCGAAATAGGAAAAGCATGTACGAAATCACATCATTTAAGTGTCTTTCATTATGCTGGAGCTTGTTGTGGTTTTGTGTTTGACTGCTCGGAACGCTTTGAAATTATGTATGAAACGTCTATATACATAATTTTGCAATACGAAAATGTTCACTTTTATGTTGAAGCGATGTGGACAAAACACAAAGCCTAATTAATTCAGAGGAAATTGTTTACAAACTATGCAAAAAACACTTGGCCAAAACACACATGTTGACCATTACATTGACTTCACAGCAAAACCAAAATAATCTCAGTTTACACAAAGCATAGAATACCACAGCAAAAAACTTGATAGAGAGAATCCAATATAGCTCGACTGCCAAATCTCTGTCGTGGTCTATCAACAAGATTTTTTTGTGGTTTGATATTTATTTGTGTTCGCGACATCAGAACATTGTAGCCTATTACATAATAGAAAGTATATTTATCAGTGTGATTCTGAAATAATAATTTCTAATATTTGGATATCAAGTAGGACTTTTTTCTAAAATGATTTTTCGGATTTTAACATCTCCAAATTCAAGGGGAGAGAGTTCCAGAGTTTTTCCAATATAACGTAGCGCATGCTGGCAGACAGATTTACTCATCATGAAAGGTAGGAACAAATCAGATTTACTTCCTCGGCTGGAGGTATTTTTGACAAGTATGTCGTCAAAGCAGTTTGGTAGCGCATTATTATAAAGTTTATGACAACACTCTAAACTTTATCATATCTTCAACGTTTAGTATATTTAGTGATTCGAAGTAATCGTCTGCGTTTTCACGTCTTCTTTTCCAAAAAACAATGCTCAAAAAATTATTACAAATACCTTGCAATTTCGAGGCTAGTGTTTTGTTCCCATGGAGCCATACTGCGCAAATGTATCGGATGTGCCTGCGTAATAATGACTGAAACATTGCTAGTACATCCGATTGATTAACACACTGGGATACCTGGGCAGCAACTGCCAAGTTTCTTTTTGTTTTACTGATGACACGCATGATTTGTGATTTCCAGGAAAGTTTTTTATCATAGATAACTCCTAAGCATTTTATTTTACTAACTCTTTTAATTTCTTTGCCATTGAGCAACAAGGGTTTTGAGCAACTCACATTTTTATGTTTGCTTAGATGAAATAGTACAAGTTTAGTTTTGTTGGCAGAGATAATTTATTTTCCAACATCCAGCTATGAATGTTGAACAGTTCTCGATTTGCAACTGTCAATGGTTGTTTCAAGTTTTTCCCAAATAGAATCAAATCAGTGTCATCAGAAAACATGATTGACTCAGAAGAGTCCAACCCTAGACATGTCGTCCATATAGGCTAGAAAGAATAATGGGCCAAGTGAAGATCCTTGAGGAACTTCGTACTTCATGAGACAAATATTGGTAGAGAATAAATAGTCTTATTGTCTAGTCTGTTTTGTAGGTAGCCCCTTATTCAATTGAATGGAAAGAGATTCTGCTCTGGAAAATATATTATGTAGTTTTAACCCGCGTCAACCAAACTTTGAGAAATAGATCATGCATTGAATAATAACATCTTATACCAACGTATCAGAAACTAGTATCAAACAAAAAACAGTTCTTAAAAATGCTCAAGACACGATAATTTTTTCACCATTACTTGTGTTGTCGCGCGGTGGGGATCGAGAATTGCGCTGGGAAATTTGTATTGGCCACTCCGACGACATTCGTGCGACATCATCGAGGCGCGGTTAGTTCAAACATCTTGAATGAGGTGTTGTCGGTGGCGGTCGCTGGCAAGATTAGCTAAGATTGGACAATGAATTATAGAATTTAGTGCAGTGCGTGTCGAATCTATAGTATTTGGATGTTCAGATTGTCTAAGCGTAGCTGTTTAGTTTTTACAACAGGGCTTTACAGAATGTTGAAGCTTGCCTTGATATCGACAAAACTGTAGTTAATTGACGTGAAAAATTAGGACACTAATTTTGTATAGAGAATTATCCATATACACAGGTCGACTTGTTATATATACCAATACCCACGGAATTTTTTATCACGCAACTTTAGGGTACTTTTCATTCGTGTTTCAGTTTTTTGTTTTGTTTATATATATCTTATAACTTGATTGTAAATGAAATGAATATGAAAAATACCTTTGCAGTGCTTTAAAAAAATCTTCAAAATATTGCATATCGTCTCTGAATAGCAGCTTTCAACTTTATTACTTTGAGATATTTTTCTAGTTTGTTTCGTGGGAAAGTTTGAGGACAGATAATTATTGCCGGGGAATGGCATATAACCTTCGGAATTTTTCTTTTAGCAAAAGTTTTTTTTAGTTATTTCAATGTTCTGCAGTGAAACACAAGAAATATTGCTTATAAAAATATATGTAAAAATTTAATTTCCTTTAATTTCCTTTAATTTTATTTTAAGAGAATACTACAAATAGTAATAGTAACTGTTCTCATGCAGTTCAATATGATTTATTCTTATTTTGGAGCAAACCAGCATCATTCATTTGATTTTGAACTAATATCTATTTGGAAATATTATACCTTATACAATATTACATATATCTTATGAATTATGATCGACGCCATAACGTTAGCGTACTAATCGAAACATAGCGTACTAATCAAAATGGCGAACAATAGCGTAGTACAATAGTAAACAAGTTAACACACCCAGATGACATTTATTTTCAGCTTTCGCACTCATTGATGTTTTCATATACATCCAAATACGGAATGATCGAACAACAACTATACATTTGCTTTCTTATATAAATCCCTTTCAATGGGATTATGATCAATTAGCCTATAAGTCTATATTTAATTTGATAAAATTTTAAGAAAAACTTTCAACTTTCATTGAAGTACTATCTAAAAGTCGAAAGCTTTTGCGGACTCATTAGAGAAAACCATCATTGATTTATTAATTATTTTATTATTGCAGTTATTATTCATCTTTGATTGGTTGCAAAATTGCGTCGCCGAATAGTTCTCTCCATTGCTAGGGATATGATTTTTGTGTAATAACAGACAATTCTTAAGGGAAAAATTTTATTAAACTTTTTGAAATTATTGATTTCACACTTTGGAACCATATCTCCCCATACAATATATAATATTCCCCACTTTTCTGGTATTGTATCTCATGCCCAATTCACAAGGCTATAATGTTTGCTATGATATTACAGCGACTTTCACCAATACTTGCATCAACAGTTAGCGAGCACGACGATTCAAGAGTTTGGCGCTATGCATTTTGTGAAAAAATAATTTTTTTTCTGTATATTTTAGCGACAGTTATAAAGAAGCGTATGAGATGGGTGTGCACAAAATGGCTATGCCTTTCCAAGAGCAATAACGTGACAGTATTTATTGCTTAAACAAATACAAGTATGATATTGCCGGTGGAATTAATATGCGCAGGAGTCGCTGTTCTGGTTTATGCAAACACATTTGATGCTGATTTCGTATATGATGACAGGTGAGTAATTATTGTTTTATTTCGAATCGGTCGTACAAAATATCTATTGCACTGCTATAACGCTGGAACTTAGTTGTATATTCACAACAATATTTAGAAGCAATTTTGTTTTAATATGTTCAGTATAAATATGTGCATGAATTGAAATTTTATTTGAAAAATATGTATTTCCAAATTAGATATCTTTAGATATTACACATATCTTTATGTACTACAGGGTTCAATTGTATTTTAGGAATGTCCCGACTATATCGCATTTCATGTTTCTGTGGATAACAGAGAGAAATGCTGTTCAATTTTTTTCTTTGTTATACTTGAGGTTGACGGCAGGTTTTGCTTCAATTATTTAGTTGTGCAAATAGAATAAACGGTCTTTTGGTCAAGATAAAATCGGAACATTTAGTGGCGTTATAGAATATGATCAAACGAAAAAATGATATTAATACTACATTTAAACAGGTTTTTTAACGGAAAAAATTGGTGAACAATTCCTAAAATGCCTTAGTCATAAAAATAAAAATTATTCATACAATTTCGTCAGATATCAGAGGCGCTGCGATCTTAAAAAAGTCTTTCAACACTAATATCGAACGTGTGTTTTGGTAAGATAATGTTTCCTTTTATTCTTACATGAGAACGAAAGACAAAATAAACTGGATTCAAATTACGAAGTATCCAGAATCATTAGATACAATATGTTTTGTTTAGATGTAAAATACACGTCACGCTTGCTCTTTTGTGTAGTAGAGTGAGAAATAGTTACAATTGATGACAAGATTTTAACAACCTTCCGATAATACCTCTACTTTGAAACCAATTGACTTATTCATGAAATATAATTGTAATAAATAACATCAGCTGAAAATCTATTTTACGCTCACAATACTTCTTACCAGGCTTGAGTTTTTCCCAGTAAGGGCCGATTCGGACGGTAAAAAAAGCTTTGTCGCGCCATTGTTTTATGTCATCATTTTGTTGTTCTTCGCAGTAACCAATTTATTCAACTAATTCTGTTTATTCAAGTCCTTTGGACTTGAAATTATTTATCCTCTGTATCAACTCAACCAATTTTGCTCTCGACAGGACTCACTCCCTTAGTATGGTACACATTCGACTGAATTTTTGTGAACTTGCTTTTATATAAATTTTTGTAAAACGCCAGAATCCTACCCCTGTAAATGTAGTATGGTTGTAAATTCAGCACCAAAAGAAATTTTCCGATGAATCTTATATTTTAGAAATGGTAATAGTGTTGCAATAACTTGCCAAAGATTATACTTGATTCATTTAAAAGAAAAAAATATAACTGTTATACCTATTGCACAGCTGCTTGTTAATTTAGTTTATTGACAAATATACTGTAACGTGGATTCAAAACATGGGCAACTGTACAAAACAACACACAGAACAAAAGAACTACCAGATACTTATTTCGCTAATTAAATATATACAAAAGCAAGATTTGAAATGCTAATATATGACAAGTAAGAAATTTTTGTGCTACATTAGTATTTTTTTGGTATAACCCTATAAAATACTGATTTATCCTATATACCAGTTCTTTGACTTTTTAACATGCTTACTAATTGAATCGGATAGTTCCGTATGTACTCATGTTGTTGTCATGTTTTAGATTTGCATCCCAAATCTAAGTAATCGGAATGTTGAACTTTAGTAAAAAAGCAAATTAGATGATATAAGGTTAACTCTTAATGAATTTATTTAAAAAATTTCTGAATTTCCGTATTTTTTAAAAGTGTTTCCCGATCGCGACCAAAGTGTAAAATTTCACTTACCGTTACTAAATTACATGCCTCATTCTCCGCTGGCGATGTGATAATGATTCACTTAAATTTTTAAAATCGATACGATTTAGTGGGCTGGAAAATGAGCCATATTAAGCTCCATTAGCGGTCTGAACTATAATTTTGGATTTAACGGCATTTTAACCAGTTTAAAGTTAGACAAACTTTTAGCATGTTGATTCGTTTCAATAGAAAAATGGCGGTAAATGTTTAAACAATGTGTAAAATTAACTTTAATTTATATAGTTAGTGTGCACGCGTGAAGGAAAAGATTATAATATATTTTTTCAATTTATTCCGACTGGGCAGCGTCCCTGCCGTTCATCACAGTTGTCTGCTGGGCATTAATGACACTGTTAAAGAGCGCGGCATGTTTTAGGTTGAATATGACGCCATGATGCTTATCAATACGTTTTTGACGTTTCATATTCGTTTTATACCATAAAGAAATAATTACATGTCTAACACACTCTGCTGTCCTACGTCATATTGTCGATGTTAACCTTTGGAAACAACGTTCTATCGAACTACTTCTTACTGCGTTTGTATGATTCTTAGGATATTTTCTACGACGCTCCCGCTGCAAAAATGTGACATTTGAAAAAGCGCCCCCGCCATATTTTGTATACAAAAAAAAAACGATTCTTCCATAATTTCACTACATAACACATATTTTTAACATGCTTGACAAAGTGTAGAGATTTACCCCAACCGTCAAATCTCGAAAGCTTCTAGAGGGGAGATTAAATTTTGGAGTTCCCACATTAAGAGTAATTTCGCCAATACTGAGAGGTTCATTTTATGGCGTTTTAATATCACGTCTACCATAAGCCGAGATCGTGTTTCATATAATGGCGCATTGAGTATAATCTTGGATTTTGCTTTGCTAGCCAAGTGTGTAGCAAGGTAAATGATACTTGGTATATTGATGTGTTTGAATTTTCTCAGCACATAAATATGGCCCTATTTATATATGATGTTGTTAAAAAAATTAGGATTTACTATATTTAGATATTGTGTATTATATACCTTATCTCACAAAAAGTTTCTAAAATATTCGCAGAAAGCAAGGTAACGAGAAATTAGTCATTAAACCAAAACACTGCTTCAAATTTTGCCGATAAAAAGTACACAAATGGTAGGTCAAGGTTAGGCTTGCACGTAATTTACGGATTTACGTAATTACGTAATTATTTTGAGTTACGGAAGGGAAGTTACGAATTACGTAAAGTCGTAATTATTGCATTGAAACGAGCTTTCTTCAAAGCAGTCAATTTCGTCGATTGCGAAAAATGAAAGCTCAACAAGTAGAAGTTAGAGTTCCGGTATTCGCAGCCGTTTTTCTCTCTTTTACCTTTCTTGCTACGTAGGTGAAGGAGGGCATGACGCGTTGCCATTCACTAACCTATTATCAACTTCTCTGGCATGGCCAATGTAAATTATTAACGTAGTTAAGGGGGAAGAACTGAGTAGGGCCGTTTGACGCCAACACACCTGGTTTTAACTTCTCCCGTAACTCAACCGTAGATAAGGGATAGAATTGCGTTGAGACCGATTGACGCCAACACACCTGGTTTCAACTTCTCTCGCATCTTATCTAGCTTGGCCATGGCCAATGTACATAATAACCGTAGATAGGGGGAAGAATTGTGTTAAGACCGATGGACGCTAACACGCCCGGTTTCAACTTCTTCGGGTGAAATGACTTATGAACGCAGGAGATCAATCTTTCAAACATGGTCTATCAAACATTTGTATCTATTTTACTTTTATTTATTATTTACTTGTTCCAGTTTTCCGTTACTTATGGTATATATGTTCCGTTTCTATTTCATTCTATTTTATAGTCACGCGTTTAAATAGTGGGAATTCCCCACCAAGTGTGGATTAGCAATGCTTAATTAACCATTCTTTATTGTTAATATCAACACTTGATATATGAACATGGAATATCATACTGTTTCTGGCTGACTTGGGGTATAAACAGGAAAATGTCCATAACCTTTCAACACGACGATCTTGTGAAATTTAACGAAGAGCTTTCGCGACGAATTGGAACCAAATAAGCGAAAAGAGCGATTGATCACTCGCGCCAATACCTCGCCGTGATAATTAATGTCGCGCTTATCAAATAGCAATATGACGACAAAAGAGAGATTGCGTAATGAACCAACGCAACTTCGTCTTCTCGGCATCGGTAAAGCGATTGAGACGGCAGAGAAACAGCAAAACGACGGATTCCTCGCGGACCGCAAAAAATTTAACTGCTATCATATATAATCAAATATGAGCCAGTGTGTTTATTCTGTGCGAGATCCATTTTCTATTGCAAAATCTTGATGTTCTGTTAACGGTTTTATCGTTATACATCAGTCCGGATGATGTTATATATCAGTCCGCATGATGTTTTTCACAATTCCTCTCAATATTTCGGCCATATATGATTAACTGTCTTACCAAATGCGCCAACTTATTTTGATTTATCGTCGACTTGAATACCACCGGCACTCGACCAAACTTGTGTCAATCTTGGCCGATAGGATCGCCGACTTGAGTTAGCAAATAAATGTCGTGAGTGTAAAATAAATGTCACAAAATGCATTGTTTTGCGATATAACTTTTGTATTTTCGGAGAAGGCATATCATATAAGTTCGATATTTAAATTATACTCAAATAAATAATATTTGATCTAAATTTATCGCAAATAATGTTATAAACATTCAGTCCGCGAGATGATTAAATGTAAAATGAAGCATGGTAATCGGAATATCGTCAATAAGTCGACATCAATAATTATTATTATAAAATGCTTAACAAGGAAGTAATGTCGGATAATGCAGAAGACGCTGCAAAAACAAGTCTTCGTCGCGAGGAAATCGCAAGTATATTCAAACGAGTGAATACGCTCGTCGTTGGTTAATAAATTAGAAACCCGTAATATTTATTCAGTATTAAGGTGGTTTCAAAAAACTATCGTTTCCATAAATATCCGTATACCAGTGTCGGTAATGATAAAATAAAATTGATCGCATAAAAATGGGACGGTTAATTTGCGAAGGTGATAAAGGAAAACCAAAGCTAACACAAAAGATAAAAATCAAAATAAAATTTATTTGAATTCACTCCTTGATATTTGTCTTTAACATCTGTCGCCGGCGTGTAGTACTGCCAAGAATATGAAAACCCAACTTCAA